AGAATTTAGCTACTTCTCTGCTTAGGGGTATCATCGTTGTAACGGTTGTACTCCTTCGACGGTCACATTCATCTTAATTAATCTTTATCTCACTCTTAATGAAGAGTATCTTTCTTAATTGATCTTTATATTCTCTCCCTCGAAATATGACATGAACTTTACTACCATAATTTCGATAACTATTTAGAAAGCCTGTAAACGAGGAGACATTTATAACTTACTTTATTCACATGATTGTGTCATGTAAACAAAGTTATTTCTTGATCCATTTAGGAGTACACTTTCCTTAATTCACTTTAAGAACTCAACGATGTCTTTCATTAGCAGTACTTTTGTAAGTCACGTTTGCATCTTTTTCTTATCCTTTGGTTAGTATTGATCATGACGATGCATTTCTATTTTGCCATGGTCAATACTAGGATAGCATAAGAGATACCCAAACTTCTCTCGCTATGCGGGATACAGAACATTTTAATCATCAGAAAACTTCTCATGCCATACATGATTGATTAGCATAAGTACTATGTCAAAACTTCTCCCCATGCGGGATACATTTACATGAAAACTTAGTCACGACGACTAAAACTTCACTTATGCTTTATTTTCCAATTAAATTTTCCGTTGGTTTCAATTTAATTAGAAAATTAGTAAACTAACAAAAAAAACTGTCCTGAACTGGCTTGACTCAAGCCTTTTTATTCACATACTCCAGCATTGCAGCCCATTGGCATGCAGCTGAGTGATCTTGTCAGTTAAAAATAAAACATACAATATGCTTCTGCATCAATTCTATATCACCATTGGGTAGAAAATAGAATTGATGCATTAAAACTCATAAATTAACTTGAAATACGTATAACTACTCTTCAAAATTAAATTCATCCGTTGTTTCGAATTTAATTAGAAGATAATCAACTTCATAGCAGCAGAAACTTAATAGTGAAATACATTCTTTTAGTTCAGAGCATTTCTTGGTCCTTATCTACTCTCTGAAAAATTCAGCAAGTTGGTGTAAAATTTACCCGAGATTAAATCTTCAAACTTAAATTCGTTATAATATTGTCATCATCAACGTTGGTAAAAAAATGACAATACCATAATCTTACATAAACAAAAACGGACTACTCCTCTAATTAAATTTTCCCATTGATTCCAATTTAATTAGAGGATCAACATAATCATAATTTTCTAAATATAACTGCTCTTCAAATTAAATTCTCCCGTCGGTTCGAATTTAATTAGAAGATAATCAACTTTAATCTTTGCATGGAAAACATGAAAAAATAATCTTCTTGAAAGATCATTCTTATTCAGAAGCATCACTGTATACTTATCTACTCTCTAAACAAATTATCCCGTTGGTTGAGCAGAGATTGAAAACTAGACTAAAACATCAAAATTGCTTCTGAAAAAGAATAAAACTTATTCAAAACCATTACTGTGCAACCCGGCCTGCGGCCCATAGCGCAGCGGCAATGCGTGGCTCACCCCGGCCCAGCAGGCAACAGCAGCCCAGCACTTCCGCGCGTGGCCCAGCACAGCTCCAGCGCCGCCTAGGTGCCGGCCCACGACTGTATTCGCACGCGCTTGCTTGCGCTCCCCCACGCCCAGGCTGCAACCTGGGCCTGGGCCAGAAATCCCTACGCCCACCTGGGCTGTAAGTCGGCCCTGTGATCGTCACCCGTCCATCTCGATCGGACGGTCGTGCGCGCCGATCGGGAGAACAAAACCCTGCCCCGCCCGGTCTGCCTCCCCAAACCATAGTCTTCTTCTCATTATGCTCCCCTTCCACTCTCTCTTGCCGAGCGGCGACAGCGGCGGCGGCCACGGTTGCCATCGGTGCCGGTGAGGAGAGACTCCACTGGAGCAGATCCGACAGCTCTACTCTACTTCTTTCTTGCTCCCCTTCTCTTCTGTCCTAAGGGCTCCCCGACGGAGCGATGGTGGAGCAGCGGCCGCCCGCGGCGGCCGGAGGAGATGGTGACGCCGTCGCGCGTCCCTTCGCCGGTGCGCGCGTTCATCCAAGAGTGAGCGCGCCGCCATCAAAGGGTTGTGCTGCGGTGCCCTTGTGCCCGCACGCGGAACGTCAGAAGCGCCGGCGAGCCCTTTGCTCGGCCGGTCTTCTGGCGCGTCGGCGAAGCGGCGCGGTTTAACTTCCCGCTCGGCGTCAACGACGGCCGGTGGTAAGGGAAAACCGGTAGGTCCCTTCTTTCTCCCACTTTTCTCGCTAGGGTTAGGGTTTGGGTTGGGTATTTGCTCGGGATTTTTCGGTCTAGGGTTTGAATGCCACTCGACGGTGGGGCCCTAATCCCGCGCGCCCGACGATGGCGACTCAGCGTCTCCTTCCCGCGCGACGGTGGGGATGACGGCGGCGGAGGAGCTCAGTGAGTCCCTCTCGCTCTCCATCCATGTCATTAGGGTTAGGGATTCTACACCTAATTTAGATCTACACTAGAACCTGTCTTTGATACCATTAATAGATTATTAGGAACAACTAGGTTAGATCTACGGGTTGATTCATTGCTATTTCGGGATAAAACAACTAGTAGTGTACTCGGGAGAGGGAGAGAGAGATGTAGAAGCCTGACCATCGGGCTTGAAGGATGAGGAGGTGTCCATGGCGGTGAAGAAGTGGCGGTGAAGTCGCGAATGCTGTAGCAGCGGTGCAGAGGCGGTGAAGTCGGTGGCGGCTTTCCGTCGCTGGCAGCACCCTTCTCTTTAGATCGGATAGGGTAAGAACCTAGGTGGGGCGTCTAGCGGCTCAGGGGAACCTAGTGGATAGAGCCCCAGCCCCCACCTCACTTTTATGGTGCTGTGTGACAAGGGCCCACCAACCATAAAATGGTTAGATGCCTTCGATCAGGACATTGATCTAAGAGTCCAATTGACCGTTGGACCAATTGGTTGAGATCAACCTAACAGCTACAGCTACGGCTACGAAGCACCAGTGCACCACGAGCTCGACATCTACCCATCCACGACGTTCTGTCGCAACTCGCAGTATGCCAATATATAGAAAATTATTGGTATAGAAATAACCGACACGCCCCTGGCTCCTCTCGGAGTAAATTTCGTAGGGTCCATTGGTCGCCGTCTCCGAACACAGAATCAGACCATCTGAGTGATCGGGGCTTCGGGACTTCGGAGATCACTGCACAACCTATTAGCTGTTGCATGTCAAAGCCGGCTCCAGGGAGGCAAATAAAAATTAGGTTTTGATCAGATGAAAAAGCTGACGCTAGCAAGCTTTCAGTTTGAGTACATGTTTCCGTCCGAATTTCATTTTTTTTGACAAAAAACTGAACTGCAGAACCCTGCAAATACACCTGACAAAAATGTGTTGCATAGCACGGTCTTGGGCCCTTCTCCGCAAGAAATACAACTTTGCTTCGATTCATGAAGCTTTCCAGAGCGATATCCAACTTTCAGCTGTCCCTTCATCGCTTCCTTATAGCTTTACGAAGAGCCTCGCTGATCATCCATGGCACGACGGCACCGGAGCCTGCAAACTGCATAGAAATTGAACAGAAACAACTGCATCAGTAAACCAAACTCTCCGACCAGCAAGAAGTCAAGGGTGAGCTACCTGAGCAGTATCGCAATTTGCATGTCTTAGTTAGCTGGTGATACCTGAGCTCGTATCTTAAGCCCCATGAAGCCATCTGGTGCCGAAGCCTGAACCGAGAGAACGTCCAAATGGAGGCCCTTGATGGCGTCGAACACTCGTGTCATCAGGAGCTCCTCCCACGGGCATTGCACCTCCAGGAGCACGTCCCTGTCCGAGACGGCGACGGTGACGTTGCTGGTGCCGTCCTTGGGGAGGACCCAGGGGTGCTCCTTCTCCACGTCACTGCCGAACTCTGGGCTCTTCCTCTTGCAGCCCGCACAGACTTTCGTCCTGACACTCTCATTGCCAATGCCACGGGGTCTTGTTATTGGCCTTGTCGTTTCGGATGGGCGTGATGTAAGTTCCCTACTAGATTCCAGTTCTTGTACCCTTCGCTGAAGCTCCTTGAGGTAGGCTATGGTTTCGGCGAGGATCGATGCTTTGTCCACCTGCCAAATTTTAAAAAAATGTCTTCAAGTTTTGAACTTTTGATAAACAAACAAACGTTCTCTCAAATCAACACGGAAGGATAAAAAATTGATGGTATCTTCTTCAATACCTTGTGAATGGACGGAACCAATGACTTGAGAATGAGGAACATCTCGTTGAGCTTCTCCCGGCGCTTTCGCTCTGACATGACGTGATTCTTGATGCCGCTTTCCTGGGCTGTTCCCGTCGTGCTTGTGCCCACACCACCACCACAGTTCGCCCAAGCACCGCGGCCGGCCACCACTTTCTTCAGCAATTTCTGCGGCTCTTCGATGACCGGCACTGCCGCCACTTCATCGGAGCACGACTGCGAGGACCTCGTCCACGCCATGAAGCTGGTCGCGCGAGAGCCATCAGCTAGGTTCAGGGGCGCTGGTTGCGGGGACGAGGGAACTTCGAAATTAGACCCGTCCATGATCCAGCCATCCTCTAGTGGTAGTGGCTGCACGTCCATTTCCTCGCAGAGGCTGTAGAACTCGTCGATCTCCTTCGAGATGTGCTCCAGGCTTGCGTTTGCCAGGCTCTCCGCTTCTCCTAGCTCCTGTCCGTGTGCCCCAGCGACGGCAGTAATCGTCTCCATTTCCATGGCATTGTGATCGAGGTCCTCGAACACAACCATGTCGTCCGCGGCCTCGCCAGTTTCGTTTGCTGACGGGGGGTTGGAGCTCGGTTCCTGCTCCCCCGAGTATGTCGGACACTGCGGCTCCCAGAAAGCTGCAGTTGCTCGGCTCACCAAGTCCGGGTCCTCCAACACCTGGCAATATCATTTACACTAGTTTGGTTAAATACTACCTGATCTTCAGGAGAATTAGGCACAATGAAAAATAAAAAATCTACTAGCTGTTATTTTCAGATTATAATGTACAGTATATATATGGCCAGTGAAGCGAACAACTGAACATACCGTATCAGTTGTACCCAGCTCAAGCACACCACCCATAAGCGGGATGCAGACGATTGACTGCGGAAATTAAATACCATTCAGGATGTTACATGTTGCAGTCAGAAATCTGCAGACAAAGTGCCCTGTGTAATGTTTCCGACGAGATGAAGGCATGGAAAGCGCTTACCTGAATGGACGTGCTCTGCTTGCTCAAGGCCACACATGCAGGAACCCAAGTTCACGATGATTCAACAAAGAACACAACCGACTAGTGAAAAACATGCATGAAAGGCAATAATAGACAAGACACAGAGAGCGGTCGATCTTGACCGATCACCGTCGCCGAAACTGAGAAACGTGCATGCATACCTTGGCCAGGAGCGCGCGGGGGAAGGCTTTGCTGCCGGCGAGGTGCGCGTTGCACAGCCAGACATGCTCGTTGCTCGTAAAACTCCTGCCCGGCAACCTGTGGCAGCACGGGAAAAAAATTGTTACCAACTTACCATCAGGGGCATCAGCTATATATGCTCTGTTGTATCAAGCAGTAATCGATACCCTTGGCCAGGCCGGAAGGCGTAGGTCATGCAGATCACGTAGTACCACTCGGTGTCGCCGAGGTCCTCCGGCGACAGCGAGCCGACCGGCCGCGCCGGCGCCGCGCGACGGTCGCACTCGCCGGACAGGAGGGCCTCGTACAACTCCCGGAGCTGCTCACTCCTCTGCATCACGAGCTGATCGGCTGTCATCTCCACGGAGTTGGAGATCTTCCGCGTCTTCACCTCGCCGTTGTAGAACCCGTCCGTCCACGTCAGCACCCTGCAACCAGATTTTCTCATCCGACTTCCAAGGGAAAACTTTTTACAGTAGTATATACTATATAGTAGTACTAGGTATCTATACCTCCTATCTGTATGTGTGTGTTTTGAAAGCTTATGATCCTAAAAATATATCATTTTTGTCCATTTGATTGAAAGTCCAATATTAAAAGGCGGGTGAGATGATAAAATCATATTTGAATTTCTCAACGTTTTTTCTCTGCCTAGATTTTTTTTTGTTTCCTCTAACTTCATTTCTTCTTTGCACCTTTTTTTATTTGTCATTCTCACTTTACGAGGAGCCAACGTACTCAACTTTGACCAAATATATTAGTATTTATAGTACATAATTAGTATCATTAGATATGTCATTCAATTTTTTTTATAAACTTATTTGGAGTTAAAAGTATTGTTAATATTTTCTGCAAACCTATTGACGTTTGAGAAAGTTTGACCAATACGTTTCCCATAAAAAGATACAAAAGTAGAGCATTATATTTAAAATAAAATAAATATGCCCTAAGATACATAGTGCTCCCTTTTTATCGGATGAGACAGAAATCTTTATTGCGAGATGTGCATCTGTGAGCTTTATTACAACATGACTTTTTATATTATTTTAATATAAGTATTGAATGCATGATCTATGAATTACACCTTCTTCTGTTATCTAGGCATAACTTATATCTAGATACGTAGCAAAAGCTACGAATCTAAAAAAAAAAACGTCTTATAGTTTGAAAACGGAGGGAGTAGTATTTATATTAGCATATTTTTGAAATATAAATATTAGCGGGAATTTCTTTGAAAAACTCAAAGTGTAGTAGAGTTTCACAAGCTTATGTATGGACCTCAACTTTTAGATTTTGTTGTCCTTAAATATTTAGTAGTTTCACCAAAGAAGAACAGAATCATTGTTAGTATTTGCTAAAAAGTGTGAAAGAAGAATTTTCTTGAGAGACGGAATAATAAATGGCTTTACTAGTTTCCAGTTGCTCATACGTACACTTCTATTACTCTATGATCTAAATTTGCATAGTTTCAGCTCAAAACTGTGGTATTACAAGTGGAAAGATGGGAGTTGTCCAGTTTGGTAATGGTAATAACACTGCATAGCTACAAGTGGAAAGACGTCTAAAAAAAACTACAAGTGGATAGATGGGAGTTCCCCAGGTCGAGAAGACACATCACGTGACGACGTGAGTTAAAAATCGATCCAGTACTCTCTTAAATCGAGGAGATTCAAGAGTAGGAATAACAAAGTTTGACTCAGTAACTAAATTGGATGTAAAACCTGGCGACATCATTGCAAACAGGAAAAAACTAACCATTTTCTGCAAAACGATAAGTAAATGACTACAATCGCATCACCGGATCCGACTCTCTTTATTTGATATGTATGTATGCGCTGGGAGCCTGGGATATATATAAAGCTCATGCAAATGATGTGACGACTGACGATCATTCATCAAAGTTGCAGAAAACTGCCAACCAAATATCAACTGTATATTATTAAGACTTCAATTTACCCTGGTTGGGTGCCTGAAATGGACCAGAAGAGGGCATAGCTCCAGTTGATGCTCCTCGCGGCTGCAGCGAGCTGGTTCCTCAACTGCCTCTCTGCTGCAGGCTGCAGCAGCTCTTCTTCCTGAACCGGGGAAGCTGAAAGCGCCATGGTGCGCCTCACTATCCCTTCACGCAGAAGCTAGAAACTGATGTTACTATTAAGAGACGGCGAAGAAGCTAGATCATTAGAAGAATATATATAGCTCCAGCTCGTGCAATTTGCAAGTAATAACCATTTTCATTTCGTACCTGATACTGTAGTCTGTAGGCTCTAGCTGCACAAAGTGACAAAGAGAGTACAACAACTCGATTCAAGATCAGTATTATATTGCTTATTATTGTCTACGGATCATCAGACAATCCCTCATGAACGGGCGGCCGGGGGGCATGCTAGAAAGACGTGGAAGGAAGTTGTAGCTAGAGAAGCAATAAAGCAATGCAAAAACTTTCATGCAAGGGTGGACAAGAATCGGAGGAGGATCGGAGCTCCCCTCCGCGCTAAGGGAATCAAACGCCTATATGCTAGCTATATGGGTGCAAGCAGGCATATATATATAGGCATCCACGTACACTCTGTGTTGGCAATGGCGACCTCGGTAGCTGGCTGGTGAGGAACGGAGGAGGAAGAAGACGGAATATATGCCTGCAGATATGCCACGAACCTTGGAATCCAAGATGGGTTTGTGGACGGAGCTCCATGACGGGAGAAGAAGTATTATTATAGTAGCACTGGCTCCGGCCTGTAGCAGCGCATTTATTAATAAGGAGTGTAACTTGTTGTATTGAACACAGTATGATGATGAAACGGAAGGATCGAGTAGGCTTGAAAGACGAGGGATAGACGTATAGTATACGTGTGTATGTAGTTGTAGCATGCTAGAACCTGGGAGCGGCGAAAGCGTCTTTCGAGACTTCCCGTACACTCTGTAGTCATGTCCGCGTCACACTCACATGGTTTGGTAGATCTCTCTTTCTCGTATAAGGTTTTTTTCATTGAACAAAAGGACCGTGCATGTGCGAGAGGTAACTTCATTATTTTCAAGTGTAAACGAACTATATATACGTACGTATGTAGGAGTATTATCATTTAAAATTCAGATTTACTCAGACACAGTGCCAGCTATCCTATTTATCTGTCAGTCGACGCGTTAGTCACATGCGCCTGCGGCTAGGGTTCCGGCAAGACCTCGCCGGTGTTGGAGACGCCGACCTCGCTGGTGTCAGGCAAGTTCAGTGCCCTCTCTCTTCAACTCTCCCTCTCTTCTTCCTCAACTCTGGCGGCCTTTCCCTCAAAAAAAAACTCTGGCAGGGCAGGGCGCGTTAGGGCCCTGGCGGCGGTGGAGGCGGTTAGGGGTCAGGGCAGGGCTCGTTGCAATGAGCTCGTCGGTGCCCTGCCCTGGGGTTAGGGTGGACAGGGTCGAGGGACGGGAGCGGGACGTGGGTGGCGCGGCGAGGTGGCGGCGGGGGAGCCACCGGTGCTGGGGCGGGGCGGGGCGGGGCGAGTACGAGGACGAGGACGGGGACCTTGCTTGTCTTTAGGGGAGGGCGGGGGAGGGGCGGCCGTGGAGGGGCGCGGGGAGGAAGACGGTCGAGAGAGCTGGTGGAGTGGGAGGTAGAAGATGACCGATGGATTTGCAAAATTGCAGGCACATGCTCGGGAGACATACCCTTTACGTACGGAAATTACAAAAGTTTATCATGAATCCTAGGAATTTCAAAAGTAATACGCTTTCGTTTACCCAGAAAACGATATACGTACAGATCTGGTTGTCCATAGGACGACAACATATCATAGATTTTGTATTCCGGGAGAACAATATATTCGATTTAAATGCCATTGACCGTAAATCGATAACTACTCTCTCGTCCAATAGAAAAACACTAACTTCAGGACGTCGTTCTACGTGGAACAAATTTTGAAAGTCGTATCTGTGACTATCTGACGATGTTTAAGGATATGTTTGGTACAGTTCCGTCTGTGTTTTCGGACCACAGACGCGCAAATTTCTGGTTCGGATGGTATGCTCGGAGGACACAAGGGTTTATACTGGTTCGGGCGAAACGTCCATACGTCCAGTTCGCTGCTGCTCATGTTACCGGCACTTGGTTTGCAGTTGTAACACCATCGGTGTTACACCGTAAATCATTTACTAAAATATGTAATTAGCATTATGTTTATGGGTTAATGCATGTGATAAAGTGTATAGATCAATTTACGTAACTCGAAACGATCAACTAAAATTGTAAAATGAAAGTTGATTCTATAGTCATGTTATATCACTTAAAGTTGAAAACCAATTTTTATTAAGCAAAAATGTTATAGAACATATATGGGTCATCTTAATAAAGTTGGAAGTACAAACTTTGTAGATGATAGTGAAATACTTGCGGTCGAAAAATAATGTTACTAGTTGATATTTCTAATAGTCTAGAAACGGAACTTAAAATCAAATTCAGCTCAAAAACTTAGAAATTTTCAAGTCTGCCAATAGTTATACACTACTATGTTTAGCAATTTATTGTGAGAGATTGGGTTAAGGAGTGGTGTAGTGTTATAGCTCGATTTGGTAGTCTCATGTGCCATCTTGAACATGGTGAAGACGGTTTAGATTTAGGAGCAACCGTTTGGTCATGTTGAGCGCTTTAAAATTCGTGCGTGTCACGGTTTCGGGCTGGTTGGCTGCGTGGCCACGATCACCGCGCTCGGGCACTCGGCGTCGCCGCGTTGGTCGCGCATGTGCGTGCGCGCGTTGTCGCGCGCGGCCGGCCATGGCCGCCTCTGGCCTGGCTAGGTCTCGGCTGCCGATGGAGCCGCCGCCGCTGCTGCCAAGTGCCCCGCACGCGCCGCGACGGAGCCGCTACCGACACCATCAACTCGCCATCGCGTCCACACTGCCAACCCGCCTCGCGTCGCGACGCTGCCGCTACCGACGCCACTGCGACGTTGTGCTGCTGCCGCTTACCTTGTCCTAGTTCGCACATTGGCTGCCCCGCGCCGTCGTCCCGCCTTAATGGCGCTGTGGCCGCGCCTGCCGCGCCCGCACCTGCCTCCGCGCGCGCGCCCGTGGTTTGGCCGCATTGTCATGTAGCGGGTGTGCAGACGCCGCCTTAAGTCTGGTCGGCCACGTCCCGCCAAGGCGTGGACGAGCCGAACCCACTGTCGTGCCCCATCTCTCTCTCCTCTGTTTTTCCGTCGCCGCCATCGAGTCTCATCACGGTGAGCCATAGGGCGAGCACCTCTCATCAATTTCTCATGCTTTCGTCTCCACCCTCACGTCTCCTCTCCAGCCGACCCCACCCCGCCTTGACTCGCGTCACGCCGAGCTCCAATTTTGGAGCTTTGCCGCCGCCGTGCCGTTAAGGCCTGTCGTGTCCAGTCTCCACCACTTTGCCCTACGCCAATTCCTCTGCACCACTAGCTCGCCTTGGCTCCCTCTTCGTCGTGCGCACGCTAGTCGTAGCTCTAGTGCCGCCTCCTCGCTGTTGACACGGCCTTGCCTTTGTGGTCCACCGTTCACCTCGCCGCGCGAACGTGGCTAGCCTCACTCGGCTCGTCTCTGGCCGAGCCGGCTTCTCAGTAGGGTCACTGGTGAGTTGTCATTGCTCACCCGTTACCCCTACCGCCTTGTTGCTCTGGCTCACCTGAACACCATCACCATTACCGCAGGGTGCCCACCGTTGTGGAGAGGTCCTTCTACGGCGTCCTGGCTCATGCAACCGCCGCCCATCATCTCGCGTCGAACCGTAGGTGAGCGTCAGCCTCGTAGATAGGTCAGCGTGGGTCCAGTGTGGCTGGTGTGAGCGCCAGTGCCACCGCTTGCCGCGCCGGCGTGTGCGGGGATGGTCGAGAGCCTTGCTGTTGTAAAGAGGATAAGATCCGAGGGTTTCGTTGCAAAGTCGCTGACTATAGAAATAGTAACGTGGTCTGTGGGTTGTTTTGCAAATAGTACAGGGGCATTTTCGCTAATGTGCCAGAGCGCGCAGGCTTCCTCACCGTGGGCCGCCTCGCGTGCGTGGACCGGTGATGCGTGGGCCGCACTGCGGGCTGCCGTGCGCTCACACGCACACGCTGCGCTCGTGTGGGCCGTGCTCGGCCGAAATCAGTTTAGCTTTTTCGTGGAGAATAGAAATAGCTTTTCATTTGTATTTCTGAGCTGAACTTTGGTAATTAATATAAAATCATATAGGTATCCAAAAATTATGAAACCAATTTTGTTAAGTTCCTAAAATTATGCTCTATCTATTAGTGTATTTAGTTCATATATGTACTTGTTGATACCAGGATCTATTAAATCATTTGAGAGTGCTTAATATTATTAGGTTAAATATTATAGGAATTTTTGTGGTAAAATGGTGATAGCTTTAGCTTTGAAAATTTTATAGTAGCTTTATGGTATTATTATGTGCTCACTATAATTTTTGTAGCTTTAGAATAGACTTAACATAAGGGTAGTTAAATGCTCTTTATTTGTAAAACTACGTGTTTGTTAGTTGAATCCAGCACTTTATTTGATGAAGATGATAGTTAGCTTAGTACCATAGTCATTAGAGCTAGCTTAGTAGTTTACCATGTGTATTCTTATTTTAGGAGCTGCTGTTGCTAAAATACTATGGGTTGCATCATCATCGCATGCATGTAGAGAACGAGTTGACGGAGATCATGACCATTGGAGACCATGAGTTCAAGGAGGTGATCGAGGAGTATGAGGGGGAGATCCTCATGTAGGAGGAGGTCCTGAAGCCACCACTGACTGACCAAGCTAACACCGCACCTACCCAAGGCAAGTCCCGGTGCATAACCCTTATTTTGAATAATCACTGAATATATATATGTGATGTGCATTTATGTTATAGGCTTATTGTTGAAACTACAGGCATAGATACCCACATATGAGTCCAACTAGCTTAGGTCAAGTAGCTGCTATGCTTAGGTTTTTTGATAACATGAGTAACCTGTCATTACTCACAACAGGTGATTATTATTATCAATCTCATGATAAAATGGTGAAAGGAAATGGATATCGGGCAGGGATATGGTACGGGTATTGGTGGGTGTAGGAGGTTGTGTCCCGTGGCCAACGGGGTATCGCTTAGTTACATTGTTTTCCA